CAAAAGCAGCTGAATTAGTCTGAGATTAAAGCCTTTGCCGCCTTCCAATCAAATGGGACCCCGAGGTGATTGGAGGGTCAAGGGGATGTGACGTTCCCTTTTCGGGGCTTTTTCCCCCCCTCCCTGTTTTCAACCCGCTCCAGCTCCTTCCCCTTCCCCTTCCCCCGCGCCCTGCGCAGCGCCCTCCCCCGCGCCTCTGCGCTCCTCGGACGGGGCGGGCACCAATTTTCTGTTTCGCGTCACGCGCCGCTTCCATTTTCCCTCCCTCGCTCCATCCCCCTCCGCGGCTCCGCCGGAGCCGGCCCTCCCCGCGGGGCTGCCCGGAGCCCTCCCGGCCTGCGCAGGCCCCGGGAAAGCCGCGGTCGGGGAAGCCGGCCCGGACACCCGCGCGCAGCCGCCGGGCCTGGACACGCAGCGTTTTCTCTCTCTCTCTTTTTTAACCCAGGGCCGCTAGGCTCAGCTCCGTGGCTTTCCCAGGGCCGCGCGGGGAGGGTGCTGCTACGCCTGCCCCGCAGCCCCCCGGGGGGCCTCGCCCCTGCGGCGCAAAGTGGGCTCGGAAAACCTGCCCCCTCCTGCCTCACAATCCCCAAGTTGTCTTGGCCGTGAAACGAAATGAAAGCTCCCCGCTCTCCCCCTCCCGCGCCCGGGGCGAGCAGAGACTCGCCAATCAGGCGCGTGCTGACACTGGGAGCCCGGGGCCCAGATTGGGAGCCGGCCGCGTCACATGTCTCCCTTCTCCCCCTCCCTCCGCCCTCCGCTCAGTCTCTTTTTGGGTATCTCCACCCCTCCATCAATTGTCAGTGCTCCCCAACCGCAATCAATCAGTTATTTGTCAGCCCCTGTCAATCCGCCCTTGATTTATGTCAGCTTTTGTTGCTGATTACAAGCCTGGTGTGACTTGAAGGAACAGAGAGAGAGAGGGAGAGAGAAAGAAAAAAGAGGGGGAGAGAGACGAGCTCTTTGGAAAAAGAGCCATTCAATTTAAGGAATAAATCGTTCTCCGAGTAAACTCAATTTGTATGCCAACAAAAGGGAGAGTCACTTCTCTTAGCTGAGACACCGCAATATACACCTTGGCGGAGCAGTTTTAATTAACGGGGGGGGGGGTTGTGTGTGCGTGTGTGTTTTAAGGGGATCTCCCCCCCCCTAAAAATGTGTTAGTTCCCAAGGATCCGGAGGAGGAGGGTAGGGGCGAGGAGGGCTGGGAAGGAGCTGGGGGCAGAAGGAACCACATTATTGAGATTTTATCGCCAATCCGTCACTCAATCGGCTGGCACGGCGGAATGTGTAAAGGAGATTAAGATTGACATCTTGAGCGGCCGCAGAATGCCAATACCGACAGTCTCGGCAAACGATTGCCCTGGATCAAAGGCATGTCTGGGACGATTCATTATCGCCTCTAAGTATTTGTTCACCAACACCGGATTTTTCACTTTAGCTGCCCTATCGATTCCCCATTTATATATTTGTTTCATCCTCGCCAAACATTATTGGGAGCCGCACAGGGCTGCGCGTTTGTAACGGACGTGCGCTGG